ATTCTATTTTTTTAAATTTATTATTATTCTGTTTATTTATTCAATAGTTTTCATTACGTTATAAAATATTTTCTATAATTAGGAAATTCAAAAATGTTGTTCGATGCATTAAAACTTCTAAAATTTACGCTGCGCTAAAATTTTTGTTCTCTAAAATTTAATTGGGAAGGGGCTCGTATGTATTTAAATATAAAATATAAATTTAAATATAAATAAATATACATAAAGTATAATACGCTGAACGAGCGTATAACCACCAGAATAGAATATAGCACCAAAGGAGCTATACCTAAAAGACTTGGTAATGGCGGGTAATTTAGGAATGGTAGAATGGAATGCAAATGGCATCTTGAAACATCAAGAACTACAAGCGATACTAGATATAGAAAAAATGGACATATGCCTCATTTCTGAAACGCATTTTACGAATGAGTCATATATTAGATATAGGAGTTATAAAACTTATCATACTACTAACCCTGATAATGCAACCAAAGGAGATGGTAGTGCAGTAATAATCAAAGAAAATATTATGCACTATCAGGAAATTGGATACAGAACTAAAGAATTTCAGGCCACATCAGTAAAATTTAATTGTAAAAACTATGAGGTAATCGTCACAGCGGTTCACAGTCCGCCAAGACATACCATCAAGAAAAATCAATATGTAGATTTCCTGACCAGTCAAGGACATAGATTTATCCTTTATCCTTATTGGGGGTCACGACTGACTATCACCAAAGGGAAAGAATTTTTTGAAGGAATAAAATACATAAAATGCGACGCAATATCAACGGGAAAGCCGACATACTGGCCTACTGACATAAATAAAATCCCAGACCTTAGCGACTTATTTGTAGTCAGAAATATTTCAACAAATTACATAAAGATAGAAGAGGCATAGAAATGAACTCGGACCATTCTTCAATTATTCTCACACTCCAACTCACACTCTATAAGCCCCCCTAGATTTGTTAACAAAAATACTGACTGGAAAAGTTTCCAGATAGACCTTGAAGAGGAGATTAACCTCTCAGTACCATTAAGAATCGTTGATCAAGTAGAGGCAGAAGTAGAATTACTCAATAAAAATGAACAACAAGCTGCTTTAAACAACAGCACGAACAGTGCCGAAAGAATAAAAGGAAATAATTCCCGAAAGAAATCAGAGAGATGATAACCGAAATAAGAAAACTGAGATACAAGTGGCATCAGTCTAGAGCATCAGTTGATAAAACTAGATTAAATAATGCCACACAAAAATTAAAAAGAGAAAATAAAAAAATTAAAAACGAATCGGTTAGCATCTACCTATTATAAGTGAACTATCAAATGATAGCGCTACTGATTTTGATTACTCATTGTGGAACGCTACCAAACGATTTAAAATGCCAATCTTACAGAATCCACCAATTAGAAATACTAATGGTAGCTGGACAAGAAGCAATATACAAAAGGCCAACAGGTTTGCTGACCACCTAGAAAATACTTTTCAACTAAATGAAGAACAAGAAATAATTAACTGGGAGCTTCCTGATCAAGATGAAATGGAGATTAGCCCTGTAACTCCAAAAGATGTAAATTTGGAAATGAAAGAAAATATAAATCGAAAGAAAGCTCCTAGATTTGATCTAATTACTAGGAAAGCGTTAAAGCAACTTCCAAGGAAAGCTATTATAAAATTAACACATCTTATAAACGCTTCCTTTAGGCTGAGATACGTACCAAAGATATGGAAGGTGGCAGAAATTATAATGACACTAAAACCAGGAAAACCTCCACAAGAAGCTTCTTGATATAGGCCTATTTCACTATTAACCTGTCATGTCTAAATTATACAAAAAATTATTCTTGAAGAGACTAAAACTGATTATATAGGAAAAAAATCTAATTAATAATCATCAGTTTGGGTTTAGAACAATCAACTCAACGAGATCAGGTGCATAGAATAACAGATATAGTAGAAAGAGTTCTAGAAGAAGGAAAAGTCTGTTCCGCAATTTTCCTCGATGTAGTTCAGGCTTTTGACAAAGTGTGCCATGAGGGATTATATCATAAAATGAGATGCGTCTTAACAAAACAATAATCTGAACTATTTGGAGCAAGTGCTATACGTGCTGTTTACCAGCGATATTCCATCATTAAAACCTAACACAATTGCGACATTTGCAGACCACACATGCATTCTAGCAGTCGGACAAAATCACGAGGATGCAGCAACCATATTACTGAACTCTGTTGAACAAATTAACATCTGGACCAGGCGATGGTGTATCAAATTGAATGAAACAAAATATGTTCATGTCAATTTTACTAACAAAAGAGAACAACATATCCGTTAGTGTAAATAGAAACCAAATACCTTATGCAAATACGGCAAAATATTTGGGTATGACATGAGATTTCAAGCTACGTTGGAAAACACATATTAAGAAAAAAAAAGGAGGAATGAGAAATTAAGTTCAGAAAGATGTACTGGTTGATGGGAAAAATCCACTCTGATCTCAAATTGTTATTGTATAAGCAAGTCCTTAAACCTATATGGACATATGGGATGCAGCTATGGGGCTGTATAAAAGAAAGTAACGTCCAAATTATAAAACGATATCAGAATAAATTATTAAGGAACATCGTTAACCCTCTATGGTACTGAAATTGTGATCTTCATCGAGACCTCCAGATGGATAAGGTTATCCAGACAATAAGTAAGTTTGCCGAGAGTCATGAACAAAGGCTCTCCAACCACGTGAATGTCGATGCCATCAAACTTCTAGACAACGCCAACCAGATAAGAAGACTTAAAAGAACGAAGCCGTTTGAGTTAGTGCTATAAGTGAGTGAAAGTGAAAAAGCAGAGCAAAGTGGGGCTAAAGTGTATACGTTAGCTAGTAGTACTATAATGTATTAGAGCCTAGGGAATATTTCTGAATGTAACCGTACATCCGCAGCATTAAAGGAAATGAAGAACCATCGATCGCCTGGTGATGATGGACTCGTTATCGAGGCAATAAAAGCAGGAGGAGAAATTTTATTAAAATCAGTACGCGAACTGATTATTAAATGCTTACATGCGGGTACGACTCCAAAACACTGGAAAAATGCAGTAATAGTCTTGTTACACAAAAAAGGCGATATTAATAAATTAGAAAATTATAGACTCATCAGCCTCTTGACACATATGTAAAAACTATAAAAATCTTAACAAAGAGGCTAACACCTAAACTTGATTTCTATCAGCCCAAAGAACAGGCAGGCTTCAGGGAAGGATATGGCACAAATGACCATTTATATACCATAAAGATCTTAATAGAACAGTGCATCGAGTACAACATACCACTGGTTCTTGCATATGTCGATTACGAAAAGGCTTTTGATTCTGTAGAGTTTGAAACAATACTGGAAGCCCTGAATCAAAGCCGAATAGATTACAGGTACACGACACTAATCAAAAACATCTACGAGAACGCTACATCAAGTATACGACTACACGAAGACACAGAAAAATTCAGCTTAGGTCGAGGGGTTAGACAAGGAGACAATATGTCACCAAAATTGTTCACGGCAGCTCTAGAGTCAATATTTACGAGCACTCAATGGCAAGATATGGGCATCAATAGAAATGGGCATCAGTAGAAAGATTAAATCACCTAAGGTTTGAAGATGATGTATTAATCGCAGGTAACTTACAAGATACAGTTTCTATGATGCATTCGCTTAAAAGTCTATCTGAAAGAGCAGGATTAAAGATAAACTTTGAGAAAACTAAATTTATAACAAATCTCGTAATGAGTGGAAATATAACTATTGACAATAATACCATAAAACAAATAGACACTTACAAATATCTGGGACACGAAATCAAAATAAGCAGAGACAATCAAACACATGAAATACAGAGGCGAATAGGCCTAACATGGGCAGCATTTGGCAAATTAAGACATATTCTAAAAAGTTCAATTCCCATGTGTCTCAAGCGAAAGGTTTATAACCAATGTGTTGTGCCTGTACAAACTTATGGAGCAGAGACTTTAACACACAAGTTACACAACGAGCCATGGAACGTGCAATGCTGAACGTGAGCCTTCGATACCACATAACAAACCAACAAATCAGGCAAAGATCAGGAGTTCAAGACGTCATTGAAAGAACCACGACGCTTAAGTGGAACTGGACAGGGCACTTAGCCAGAACATAAGATGGACGGTGCATAAGACGTATTATGGAATGGAGGCCCAGAAACTATAAAAGAAGCCGAGAACACTGGAAAAAACTGAGGGAGGCCTATGTCCAGCATTGGACGCGATTGGCTTATTGAGGATGAACCGTACATAAGTTTTTTGTAGTATTTTGTATATAGAACTAACTTGCTTATTGATCGTAGTGAATGATCAGATAGCAATAATCATAAGATTCCTGTTAGAGTTTTATTAAATAAAAAAATATATATAAAATGTCGAGTTAATTTTACAATATTTGGTTTACAATTCTACAACACGTTTGAACAAATTAAAATACCACAAAGATTTTAAATGAACTGCTACTTAACCTACTAAAAACGTAAATATTTTGACCTAAACTGATTGTTTTAATTAGCAAATCTGAGCGAATCTTTGATTCAATTACCAAAAGCGTCGTTTAAATCAACTTGATGTTTTAAAATGATATAAATAAATGTTTATATGTGGCAATTGCGGAGTACGAAGTTGATGAGAGTTCTAAAAAAACCGTTTAATGATGACTAAGTACAAATATCAATTAAAATAATCGTCATTTTTACGCCAGACGTCGTAACTACCGAGTAAAATCTAATTTCACACAAGATTCAATTCTGAAATGTAGCGTGCCAAGCCGTGCATCAACACACTCCAAAATCCCGCCTTTGCGTACTCAGCCATGACTCCATTGGCTTCAACCAGCCATTTTATACAGCGAAAGGCGGGGAATGGGAGCGTACCCGCGACGTCGACTTCCTCGGAAGACCATGAAGCTGCACGCAAGTGGCCACCGAGATTGGATACACTCTGTTGAGATTTGTGTGTTAAATCTAATCATGCAGTAGATTTTTGAGTTTTGAACGGTTAGGGTAATTTCACACGCCGCTTCGCTGCGTTATTTTCTTACTACTATTTGTGATTAGGAACTTATATGTTTTTAATTCAGTGGGACAAAGTTTTACTCTATCTTTTATTAATGGGAGATTAGACTTTGCGGTGCTATTAATAGATCAGATGGATACTGGTAAGTGATACTTATCTCTTTTAAATTGTTGGAAAATGTTTTATTGTTGGCAACTAACATTTCTAATTGTGTTAGAAATGATTAAATCATTCACTAGGTATATTTATTTTGATCGTTAATTGTAAAACAATTTTAATGTTTCCGGAAAGATAATTAAACGAAAAGAAAGTTTTCGTTTTCCACTTCGGATATTTCGATTTTTATTTTTTTTATGTACTTCGTCTTCTTCGCGTGCCATATCAGAATCCGACGTTGGCGATCACCATTGCGAAGGCTTTTCGATCTTCTGCAATATGGAATAATTGTCCTGCATTTGATATCTGAGTCCATTCTCGAATGTTTTTTAACCAAGAAACTTGTTTTCTTTCTACACCTCTACGGCCCTCTATTTTGCCTTTAAGGATCAATTGTAATATTTTATATAAGACATTTCTCGATGTTAAACATTCTTTAGCAGTCTCTATCTTTGTTGAGGCTCCTTAGTACTTCTTCATTAGTTTTCCTTGCTGTCCAAGGTATCTTCAGCACTCGTCTATAAACCCACATTTCCAATGCTTCAATTTTGTTCACGATCGATACTATTAACGTTCACACTTCTGCACTATCCAACAGTACGACGGACCAAACATAGCACTTAAACATTCTTTGTCTTCGTTCTAAACTGAGATGTTTATTACAAAGAATTGACTTCATTTTCATAAAAGTAGTTTTAGTCATTGCTATTCTACGTTTCATTTTTATGTCCGGATCTAGTTGGTCCGTTATAACAGTTATCAAATATGTCATTTTGTGAACTAGTGGGTCACGACTAAACACTAAAAATTCGGTTTTGTTTGAGTTTATTTTAATGCCCATTTCCTCTCCGACCCCGTGGATACGATCAAGCAGAATTTGAAGACCTTAAATATTATCTGATAGAATTACTGTATCGTCTGCATATCTAATCACATTAAGTAGTTCCCCGTTGATTTTTATTCCATATGGTTGTCTCTCAAGTGCCTTTTTAAATAACTGGTCCGAGTAAACATTGAACAATGTTGGCGACAAAATGCAACCTTGTCTGACTCCTCGTTGTATAGAGATTTCATAGGATAGAGATTTAAAAGTCCTTTCCCTTTTAAATTTAACGTTTGTTTCGTACCTTCTAAGTGTTTTCTGTTTTAGTGTGTTTTAAATTGTCCTTAATTGTTTTAATTCTAATATTTTATTTACTCGACTTTGCAATAATCTACTATTTTGCCAATAGAACTTTATCAAAGAAATTTAATAATTACAAGTTGAAAAATAATTGCACACCCACACAATTTGTACATCTAAAGTTATTCATTGTCATAAAACTGTCACTTCATAAAACAATTACTCAATAAATAACACACATTTCATAAATATATCTCTCGAATAAGTATAAATAACTTTTAAATAATACAATGGTATATAACATCACTTCCATTTAACATTGGCTTCATTGGATCAAATCTATCTCCTCAAGAACTTCCGGTTTACTGTCAAACAACTACAATAGCAGAATTGAGTTCTCCATTCAACAATACATAGTAGTTTCAACCATGTTCTACCATCCATCAATTAATAGAGTACCGGCATGTAACTAATGTTTATTTATTTGCTCATTTATTAATTTATTACAATCTAATAGACTATTTTATAACAATTTGTGGGTCTTACCTTGTCTGTCTAAACTTTTAAAACTTTTTACACCTTTTTACTCAATTTACTCATTTTGAAATAAAACCACAGACATGTAATATTGGCATAATTATTGTAATTTACAACATCTAATTTGTTTATCTTTATTAGACAACACCCTAATATGGGGTTTTATCATTTTAGCATTTATTTAACTTTGTATCGAGACCTGAAGATGCTTTGCATATTGTAGAAAGCGAAACCGGTCGTCTGATAGTTAAATTAAATTTATTGTAAGTCTTATTTATTATTTCTTTACCTATTTGAAATGGACTCACACAAGCAACACATTCATGATTCATCGGTGTAGTTATCTCCAATGTTTACGATAGCAGTTTGATTCAAGTATAAATTTTTAATGACACGAATATCCTTGTCATCTATTCCGATATTTATTAATATTTGCATTAATTTTACATGCTGTACTTTATCGAATGCCTTTTCGAAGGCTACGAAACATCTTTTCTTTGGTCACGGCATTTTTGTAACAGGATGTTAAGCGCAAAAAGTGTCCCCTTGTTCCCATAGCATTTCTAAATCCAAATTGGGTATCTTCAAGATCTTTTTCTCATTTGCGTTTAATTCTGTTGTGTAGTATTCTTAGGAAAATTTTAAGAGTGTGACGCTCATCAGGCTAATTAATCGATATTCTGAGTATTTTCTCGGATTGTGTTTTTTAGGTATTGCGACAAAGATGGATTTGAGCCAGTCTGCGGGAATCACTCCGGTGTTATATATTGAATTAAAAAGGCTTACTACTACTTTTATGTTATCATTATCTTTTAGTTTCAACAACTTAGTTGGTGTATCATCTGGACCACAATCTTTTGTAATTTTAGCATTATTTATAGCGTGTTCTCCTCGCATTTCATAATTTCTGGGCCGTCAGTATAGTTTTGGTAGAATTCGGCAATATTATTCATGTCATCTTCAAGAAACTCTGATATATGTATTTTTATGTACACGCTTTCAAAATTATCGTCCCTTAATACCGATTTGAAGCTACTTTTTGTGCCTTTACTGTCATAATTACGAACCCCTTCCCAAATCAGTTGGCCCAACGTTAGATTGAGAAAAAAATTAAATTTTAGAGAACAAAAATTTTAGCGCAGCGTAAATTTTAGAAGTTTTAATGCATCGAACAAAATTTTTGAATTTCCTTTTTATAGAAAATACTTTATAACGTACTGAAAACTATTGATTAAACAGAATAAGAATAAATTTTAAAAAACGCATAGAATATGTAATATTACCAAAAAAAAAAATGTGAAACTTTATCACTGAGTTACATCCACTTTATTTTTAATGACATCACAATTCTTCGAGGCATAGTTTTTACCAAGTTGTAACAAAATTCTAATGTAAACGAATCCCATATTTCTTGCAATCTTTCCTTCAATTCGTTGACGGACCTGGCAGGATGTTTTCTCAAAGCTTTTTTCATTTCGCGCCACAAAGTCTATCGAGGACAAGTCGGGACTGTTAGAAACCCATTCCAGAAGTGGTATGCCATGGTCTTCAATCTATTTTAAACTATTTTTTGAGGTATGACAACCTGCTCCGTCCTGTTGGAAGACAAAATCTTCCGCCGATGTTAAACGCTGTTCCATAATCAGTAAAAGAGTTGCTTCTAAAATATTTAAATATTTGACCGTGTTTACAATCCCGTCGATAAAATGTAACTTTCCCACACCTTTAGATGACATGCTGCTCAGATCATTACAGATGCAGGAAATTTGACTTTTCTCTTCAGACAGTCGGGATGAAAAGAATGACGCGACTCCTACTGTCTCCAACACACACTTCAAATCTGGACACATCACTCCATTGTATTGAATTACATTGCGACTGAGTCCAATCTTTATGCTCTTTTGACCATCTTAGTCTATTTTGATTTTGTTGTAATTTTAAAAGTAGCTTTCCCTTTGTGTTTAATAATAATTTGTGGGCCTCTGTGGTGATATGTTGATCTAGAAACGTGTTCCAATAACATAACTTCATAAAACGCTTAACTCCATATAATTTGCTCGTCGATTTTTTACTATAATGGAGTAATATTTATAAGCCGGGACATTTTAGGCAAAGAACGCCTCTTATTTTTAATATCGATTTGTATTTCGTATGGAATAGATGAAAACCCATTTTGTAAAATATAATTTACAATATCAGATTTATCAGTACTTACAGTTTTTCCCATAGCTTCAATTTTTATAATAATTTACTTGAATTTGTTTACACTTTAATTTTAAAACAGAAAAAACTTCAAATATATTAAAAAAACCTTTAACTAAATATTTATGAATCGATATATTAAATGAATCGATAGATACGATACCAGGAAAGCCAGTCAGTGCACTATCACTACAAGCAAGCAATTTAATTGAACCCAGCCTGTGAGACTTGTTCATCCGTTGGAATTACGTTCGGGTATAATATTTCATTGGAGCGAAGAACTCCAGACTATCCCTTTCCTCCCTCTAGCACTCTGATGTGGCACAACCATCAGCCAAATTCTGAGTAATAGAACTCCAACATGGTACCTTAACACATTCAAATTCAGGCTAGCGTTAAGCGCTTTATTCCTGTTATCATCTTTGCATTATCACTTCACTACAAGTACTTTTCATCCCGCTCCTTCAAGACACGTGAAACTTTGCGGCCAATCCAAATGAAGCATCGACAAATACAAATTTGCCGTACCTACCGTTTAAATGTGTACTGAGAGAAATGTATGTTTGGCTGCTCATCAGCTAATATTCCTTTGATTTTTACATGTAAATTGTCAAGTTCGGGATTCTTCTTCTCGTAGCACTATAACCCGGGGTGGGTCTTGGCTGACTGCACAAGCTTGGGATTAGCTTGCTGAAACGAGTCTTTATAAAAATTAACACAGTCGGATGACGACTCGGATCTCCGATGATTAATTTGCAAAGTGTCTTGACGTACAGGGATCACTTAACGCTCAGATTGGTCGAATTCTTTTAAAACCCATGAATAAAATTTCGTCTGTATTATCCCACAGATACTTTTTTTATTTCACAGAAACAAATGATATCAAGTTATTACCTGTAACAATTAATTATTGAAATACTGGTTAAAAAAATCTAATATCTATAAATGTGTGGCTCCCTGGTCGGCCACCACTGCTTCAATAATTCATTTGGTATTCCATTTTTAACTGCAGCTTGTTTTTTATTTATGCTTGTATTTCTTCTGTATATCTACTGTTTGTAGCATTCTTGTGATTTTGTTAAATGCATCGATCACCTTTGCAATTGTTTCGTAATATTGTTTAG